GTTTTGAGAGAATATTACTCGAAACGTAGATAATGATGGTATTATTATTGTTGTCATGAAACGTGAACAATATATTATTAATATAATATTAATGTATCATAATACACTTTTAGTGCACAACATTGTAAATTTTTTTTCGTTTTCGTGGCACAGTGAGTATTYGATAAGGCGTTTAATTACACAACGAGGTATATATATAATAATTACTGTGTGATGGGTTAAAACCTTAGGTGGAGCAGGGAGGGGAGGAAAATTTGTGAAACTCAGATTCCACTCCATCGGAAGAAGTACGACGTATTCCTAAGTCCGTAATAATAATATTATTATATTATGTATGAATTATACACGTGGTGCAGGCGGTTCGTCGATATTTGATAAGCCACTGCTATGCTATATGCATACGTATTACAGAGGTCCACCGTACCTAACATTATCGGTGACGATGCTCTGTTTGTGTTTACCCAACATAAACACGTCGATTATAATAATTATTRATGAGCCATTACAATAGGCACGGGTACGATGGTACGTATTATGATCGTCATCATCTATCTGAATAGCAATGCAMGCGTTARCTAGATGAAAAAATAATATACCGTTAGTATAAGTGAAATATTACTTATACGTGTATGTGACTCACTGTTTTTATGCCGATTATGTTGCGATATCGTTATTCGAGTGTAAAACAATAAAAATACCAATAATATTATATAGGTATAGTCATATGGTACTGTGAAGTATTATTATTTTAAGTACGATAAATTGTATAGTGATATAATATTTTGGTGATTATTATAAACTCACTGTTTCGTTGGTTTTTGTGAGGCCGTCGATGTTTCCGGTCGGACGACGACAATACACTCGACTGCTGTGATTGACGGCCAAGTAATAATTTTGATAAAAACTACAACAGATCGATGTCCACCGTATAATATATTTGTATTATAGATAGTATTTTCGTCGTGATTGCCCCGAAATTCTATCGTCGTGTATAGTCGTCGTGTGCATACGATGCTATAAATACGCTCGAGTATTTCACTACTCCAGCGGATTGGCAAACGTGACGATTGAAAGCGCACTGTAGGACCGCTCTGACGCGGACGTGGTCGGCGACTGCGATGTACGAAGCCCTGGAAAAGCGAGAAATTTACCGCTACACCCTCGCTAGCTATCCGCGACGCAACCCCCCTCGGTGCGCCACAGTCACCCCCTACCAACAACCACCACCGTCGCCGCCGCCGCCGCCGCGAATCTATCTACCACGGCCGCACCTCATCACCACTCGTTTTGGTTTTCCGCCACTGCCACCGCTGCCGCCGCCGTTAGTCCGTCGACCAACTGCTCCACAGACCACATCCTTTCCCGTACACACACACACACACAAAGATATAATACGCACGTGATCCGAATGTTTTTTGGGTCAAACCGATCTTTTAAGCCTATAGCAGAAGATAAATTGAGACGAGATTAGCTGTCATCTCTTATACTCCGCAGCGGTTTTGAAATTGTTTTATTATTATTTATTTATTTATTATTATTATTTTTAAGAGAAAACTATACGGAGCAACGCAAATATTGAAAAGTTAAACTTCAGCTGTCTCGCTCCGCCCAATATATTCATCGCCGTTACCATCATCACCTTGATACCAAATATTAACTTGTCCGGAAAATCCTATACATCAAAAACTTTCATTTTCTTACGCTCACTTATCCTTCCGCTTCTATTTTCTTCGTGAGCTTTAAGTTTCCCGGAAATATTTGTTACGTGATATAATTTATTATTAAAATGTTGATCTACCCTTAAAATTCTCCATAACGTTGTTCTGAATATTATAAATTAAGTGTAAAAACTATAACATTATGAAACAAAAAGTTTATTATCTGTTTGTGAGAATGTGCAATTTTAGATTTTCGAGAGAGGAAAGAAACCATTTGTTGCAGTAATGTGATTTTTTCAGAAAACACTTTGTCTAGATAATAAAAAAAGACTCCAAAACTTTTATACAGTGTATAATATATTAAATTGGAAATTGGATCTAGATAGCACTCGAAATATCTCATAAGCAACAATAATATTGTTATATATTATTATTATTTTATAACCTACCTAATCTTGACATTTTATTGACGTATTATTAAAACTATTTATTATTTTTTATTGATCAAAAAATTGAAAATGGTCAAAAGTATGGAAGTATTTAAAATAAAAATGTATTATACTTAATTGAACTGAGTTCATCTATGAGATAGACATTTTTTTTATATAGCGTGATTTAAAATATAAAATAATAACTCAACACTATTCAAAAACGAGAAAAAGCCAATTTCTGTATCGTGTCCGATTTTATAATTTATGTCTGAAAAGAACTCAAATGGTTTTTTACAATCATAACAATGAGGGATAGTATTTGAAGATGGGTAAAGACGCTATATATTATGGTAATATGCATATTATTTTTTTAACAGAAGAAAATCATAAATTTCTTTAGTTGGCAATTTTCAAAATACAGTGAATGCAGAGCAAAAATGTATACGAATTCTTTAAGATTTACCTATTTCTTGAAAGATGTTACATGGATATACGTTATAAAATGTACCTACTAATAATATAGTATTACGAATATTTTAAAATATTATAATAAACTTAAAGWTAAATTATTATAATCATAGTTTATACATGGGAAGAATACGGACTTGTTTATGCAACTATTTTGACAGTTGAATAATAAACAATAATATTACTATATGAATTTATGTCATTTTTTTATTTTCACTTAAAATAACAAATTCTCTTTGATATTATTAATACATGTATTATTAACTGACTAACAAAATGTATTTTGTATTTAATGAGACAGGGTGAAATAACAAGACGAATTTATTCTAATATAGTATCCTTGAAAATATATATTAAAAATTTATGTGTCATGCACATCTTTAGAACATAAAAAAAATATTCTAGTATTTCTAGAAATAAGTTAAGTACATCATTCTCAAATTATAATTTATAAAGTCGTATATCTACTTATATAAATTTAATTATAAAAGTTAGTTGACCATAGTTGTTTTTYCAATAATGGTTTATATTATATAAGTGGGTAATAATGAATCTACAAATTATGAACATTTTGACTCATATACAATATCAAAGGAAAACTTTTGGTTTTATGTACTAATATTATTGTTTAAACCCCCAAGACCGAATATMATATCATTGTTCAAGGATTAAAGGTTTTTTTGTTACCTTAATGTAATGATATATATGTATTAATAGTTATTCCTCAGCTTGACGGCATTTATCGTGAATTAAATCCATAATTTTATAGGCATATTATATCCTCTAACATTATGTATAACAAGTACAGCAATAAATCGTATATATTCCATACGCCATGATGGATTCTTGAATAATGTTTTCCTAAGTCGGGCTTAATAATAATTGCTTTTAAATCATTATTTTTATCTTTTTTTTTTGTGTATAATACTGACTATCTATTTTTATTATAGATAAATATAAAATTAAAAAGTATTTTGTAACACATTAATTAATACGATGTAAGCACTATAATTTAATATTTTACTTTAAATTTCTATGTATAGGTACCATAAGCTATATTGCCCTTTTCAAGAATTTCAATGAGCATTGTTTTTTATTTTTTATTTTATAAAGATTTTGGCTTTAAAGCTTTGAACACGCAAACATTTCCGGTACACGCTTTATTTCCGGTGGTTTCTTTTTCAAATTTGTGGTATTTGCTATCAGCTGTATAGTGAATTCACCAGAGCGTTAAGTGCGATTTATCTGCCTAATTTATTTTTTTATATCATCGTTTATGAACTTAAAGATAGCTGTTTTGTATGAGTTTGCCTGGGAATTTGTTTAGGTAACATGTTTGAAGCGAAAAGTATTTAAAAAATGTACCTACAGGAGTTTTAGTTACATGGCTAATTAATTTGTAATTGGCTACTAAATTAACAATTACTAAATTTTAAAGTTAACGTTATGGTTTCAATTTGTACTAATTAAAAACGTATTGTTTACATTTCAAAAGTTTCAAAATTACTCTATTTGCTATTTTACGTTTAAATACACTTTTAAATAATTGCAACATTTACAACATTATACAATTTAAAACACTAATTATTATTTAATCTTAATAATATGTGTTTCTTTAAATGTCCTCATATTTTTTAAAAATTTAGAATACTTGTTACTGCCTTACACTTAAATATTCTGAAATATTACTAAAAAACAATCATAAATATAATATAATAGTTTCATACGTAGTGTGGTTGCATTAGGTTTTCATAATTATTTTGAATTTTTGTTAATTGATTACATATTAAATTGCATGCATAAGAATKTTATGTGTTATTTATTCATTTATTTTTTATAACAAACAATTATAAGACATTTCAATTTAATATTATTGTATATTATTATTTTGTATTCACATTTTCGAATTGATCGTTGGTCTAAACTTTGTGAAATTATTGTGAAGATACAAACATTTTTAGTGATCGTTTAAGGTACAATTTAAAAATCAAAAGTTGTACAGACTATTTTTATAGTTGTATGCTACTGCAGTTTAATAGTATATATTATTGTTTTAGGCACTTTTATATTATAATAAATAAGTATACCATTTGCAATTAATTGTCAACAGTTTAATTTAGCCACAAATGATTTCAAAATTCAATCAAATTATATATAAACACGATGATAAATAAAATATCRGCCACAAAATTAAATACACCTAATATCATCAATAACATTAAAGTAATTATTGTATAACATTGCATACTACGAAGGGCGGTAATTAATTAACGGCAACCCTCATAAATTCGGTGATAGGTATATTATCTTTATACCTTTAAAAGTAACATTGCTTGGTATTGAAAAAAGAAATTAATCTTATATTTCTCCTGGAGATGCACTATTAAAGGAATATTCTGATTAAGCAGGTACTGAACGTCCAAAAAATGGTTTTATAAAAGTAAACTAGCAATATTTCATTCGTATAACCGGGATATTGTATAAATACGTTAATAATATAATTTTGTGAATTTCGTGATCAATTTATTTCAAAAATAATTGATAGGTATATTATGATACATTTAAATAATTAATCATAGGTATTCGATTATTTCCTGCTTATTTGAAATTGATATTGGGTTTA